CTATATAGCGAAATCCTTTAGGTGAAGTCTAAGAAACGAATAACCCTAATTACAGGACCTAGAAATAGGACTATGTTATCTATTTTGGGGATGAACCCTGAAATCAAGTGTGATTTTACAGCCAGGCTGCACATCCGGGAGTTTTTCAGTTTTTGTTTTGTTCTGAACAAAACAAATAGGACCTAGTAGAGAAGGGTAATGGTTAAGAAAGCATATTAGTAAATATCCTCATTAGATTATAGAAATCGTGCTTTCAGTCCCGATTTAATGCTTCTTAAACATTCCAGTTCCATTACATAGCTGTGAAAAATAGAAAAAAAGGCACGTTAGAAGAGAAGGCCACTGACAGCATCAGGCTGTGTTCCTTTTCCTGCCCTCCCCCTTTACTCCCTCGCTTCAAACCTGAGTATCCAGCCAGCTTAACAAAAGTAGTCTTTTCATTTTGTTTGGATGGTGCAAATGATTAGTTCATTTCTCGGGTTCACACTTGTCTGAATCTGATGCAGTAGCAGATACGGACAACAAGTTGGGAATCCAGGAATGTGATCTCTGTGCCGATTCTTAATGTCTTCTTAGAATTGCTCTGAAGGTGACTAAGGGTTGAAATGACCTAGTTTGGTGGAAAGAAAGGAATCCAATGACAACATACTAGATTCTCTGAAGTTTTCATTGTGTGGCTGTAATAATAGCTACAAACAATTACCTTACTTTCAAGTCCTTTGGAAACATAAATTTTTTTTGAGGGGCTAGCCTTATATTGAGTTAGTCAATTAGCAAGCATTTATGAAGAATAGATACACAGAGTGTGGAGTATTTAAGGCAGGGGAAAAATAATGGAGATTTGTTTCCATGGAGGAAAAAAAAACTCACGAAATCCTATTAGTTGAGTAGTAAAGAGACTTCAGAGAGGGGGTAATATTTGAGCTGAGCCATGTAATGAACAGTGTAATGAACAGTGATTCATTCCAGACATGGAAGGGAATACACACGCCTGGGGAAGGTATAGGAATGCTCAAAAGATTAGCTGGCATAATCAAGAGAAAGAGAGTTCGAGTAGTAGAATGATAAAGCTAAAAATCAGGAGAAGAAAGATGAGACAGCTTGTAGAAGACCTTAAGCTGTGTTCTAGGTGAGAGTGAGGGTTGAAGTCTTTTGCATGACACAATGACATGGTGAAAGTGACATCTTGTCAAGATTTCAGTTTTTAAAATATGTTTCTATCCTAACATTGCAGATAAATGCTTGCCTGTTTGTCTTGAGACATTAGCATACTCAGAGAAAGTTAATGTGCGCAGACTGGACCCAAGGGAGGCAGCAGAAACAATGGTTGCTCTAACTGTTTCCCTACAGAGTTCTGAGTGATTGTAAGAAACAACAGGAAGGCAGGACTCCCCTTGCATGTGACTAGGATCTCAGATGGGATTAATGTGAAGGGGGTGTCTATACTGTGTATTAGAGGACCCTCTCTTTTCTTCAGCTGCTATAATTGTAATCTGCTTATTTTCAGATAATACGCCTGATGCATGAGATCCTTGAGTGTTTCTGAGTTGGAACCACATTATAACCTGGTTTTAAATGCCTCATATTGACATCAACATTCTTGTATTAATAACTTTCATTTAGTGTATGTGTTACCCTTGTCAAATTTCAAGCTTCAATTCTTCCTGTCAATTTTAGGTGCTTCAAAAGATATATAAGTATGGCTTTGGTCTAAAAAGAATCACAAAGTATGTTCCCTTAAAGCAAGTCTGATGATTTGGAATACAGTGCACAGAAATTTGTTTTGTACATGTTGAATGATCCATGAGTCAGTCAGCCAACACCTGTACTATGCATCAACAAATATGACCCTGACCTATGAGGTTCTTAAAATTCACAGATTTTCTAGGGCATTTGAAAATAGGGTTTTGTCCACAGAGATTGAAAATGCGTAGAGGAAAAACACACCTCTTCTGCATTTCAGGGACCACTGGATTTTGTGAGTCACTATTTTCCTCTTGGTCAGCACAGAGAGTTGACTGATTGGGGTGATCCTGTAGATGACTGCTGCATAACTCCTGCTGGCTTCGTAGAGAGTACAAATGAAAAGTCAGGAAATCTGGGGTGTAGTTCCAGCTCTGCTGCCACTAACTACACATGAAAAGTTAGGATAGATGTTATATCCTTTTTGGACTCAGTGTTCATATTTGTAAAACAGGAAAACACAACTAGACACTTTCTTAAATTATTTCACTTTAGAGAAGGGATACCTAATTAACTCTGTATGTCCACAAAATCAATTCAGTATTGAATGATACACATGGTTAATTTAGGAATTTTAAGAGCTCATAATACATTAACCTAGTGTTTACTACAAGGGAATACACTCTCTCAAATACTAAACCTCATCTTATTCCAGATATAGAATCCTAAATGATAGAGTGTGCTGCTGTCACTTACCTGTAGCCATGGCCTCTGTAAGTTTCATGGTGGTGGGAGTCTTCCAGACTCAGCCATTAAC